TTTTCTTGTATCTATTTGTTGAGGTGCAACAATAAGAGGAAAAGCCTAAGTAAGCCAGTGTGTCTTCATGCTGTTAATATTGCATTTTTCAGCCTTATCCCAGCTCGGAGTTCTCCCTTTTAATTCCCTATATAATGTGTCCCAGATGAAGGGGTGCATTCTCTCTAATGTATTAAGATTGAAGCCACCATAAGAGGGTCACAGGGTCATTCCACTCCTATCAAATGTGCCCAGTCATAAGACCAGACGGAGCTCTCGGCCCGTCTCCTTTCATCTCCAATTAGGTATCACAACAGCAATGGGATTATATCCTCGTATTCCGTAATCCATCCTCTAAACTCCTCGAACATATCGGCATTGCAAACTCAATATATCCTTATTTTCTGATAAATACACTCCCGGAGTTTGTTTTAGAAATTTGGGCTCGTATAAAGCTTAGCTTGCGGATAATATACGACGGGTTAGAACGCATCTCATAAAAGTCTCGGTAATTTAAGCCCCCTCGTTTTTACCTCCTCGCCGGGTCTCTTGTCAAACTTGATTCTCCAGAAACTCGCAGCACAACGGCAATTTGGACTGTGTCAGACGGGGGGCTTGATGGGAATTGTCAGTTGGTTTACAGAGGAAACATTGGAAACATATGAGCTTTAACCACCGCAATTCAAACCAGACGTTGCCGTAGGTCCCCTCTGCAATCTTCTCCGATGCTACGTTGTTCTTGTGTATGTTTTCAGATCCTCATCATGACCTGCCACATCTTCCTGAACGTTCTCAAGAGCGAAAGCCTGTCATTATCCAGCATTAATTTGCTGGTGTTTGACGAATGCCATCTCGCCATCCAGGATCACCCGTATCGGGAAATCATGGAGGTAGGAGTGTTTTTTTTTTTTTTTAAAGTGGACCTGAACTCAGAAAGTGAAGATTGCTTTGTTATAGAGAACATCTATAAATGTTTGATTTTAAGACGTGAAAGAAAGAAAAAAATGAGTGTACTTCCTGTGCCTTGGCACGCCTGCTCTATAGCCTCATAGCTATGTGTCTGCATTGTGAGTTCATCTGAGGCACTGCTGTCTCTGATTTGGTGGCATCACTACTGTGCTGCTCACTGTTCTCCTTGCCACAGAGAGAGCTGTACCTGGTAACATGCAGTGCAAGAATCTCCCTGCCTCTCCTTCATTCTGTGAATCTGTGCTTCTCCCATAACTCCTGTTGCTGCTCCTCCTTCATTATTCCTACATTAGTCAGCAGAGCACTTCCTGGTATGTAAATGTGCCTTGGCACGCCTGCTCTGTAGCCTCCTAGCTATGTGTCTGCAATGTGGGATCATCTAAGGCACTGCTGTCTCTGATTTGTTGGCATCACTACTGTGCTGATCACAGTTCTCCTTGCCAGAGAGCAAGCTGTACCTGAGGCCCTGCATTGCAAGGATCTCCCTGCCTCTGCTCATTCGGTGACTGTGCTTCCCTCAGAACTCCTGCTGCTTGATTATTCCTACATTAGTCAGCAGAGCACTTCTGGTATGCGACTGTGCCTGGGCACTGCTTTGCCTTCAGCCTTATAGCTGTATATCTGCAGCATGAGATCATCCAAGGTACTACTGCCTCTGATTGCAAGTCTCAGATTAGATCATGAATGGGCGGCAGCAGCAGCATATAGGTATATACTGCGTTGCACTGTGCATTCTACTCTTGCAGTAAGCTACAGGAAGAGTAGAATGCAGAGTGCATCACAGTGTTAAAGTCCCCCTGCTCACTCTGCCACCTGTAACATGCCTAGAAACCTCCCCCTTCACCTCCCTAGCACCTGAAACATGTTAGGATAATATCAGTATGTGGTAGAGTCTGATTGGTTTGCAGTGCTGTCAGAGTTGCAACAGATTATAAGAAGTTATTGGATACATGTAATACAATTTGTACTATAATTGTCTTGTTAGACATTATGGGGCCGCCTATGTTGACCTCCTTCTGAGAATCCTATTGGTTCTCTGATCAGCAGGCTGGGGGGAGGTGCCCTAAATAGGACTGTGTTGTGTTGCTTAAAGTCCAATTGTATGTTGAATAGCTTGCCTATCCCTTTCCTCCCCAGCCCGGTGGTCCCTGGCCCCGCCCCCTTCATTCATTGGGTTTCAGTTCTTTCAATCATGGAGGCTCAGCATCACATGTGGGCGTTACCTAGGGCTGTCTTCATGCAAATGTGGCCTGCCTAGGAACGCCCACTCCTCCAGACTGATCTATCAAACTATTATGCTATTTGCATGACTCCTCCCAAGAGCCAGCTCACTGCTTGCATCAGGAATGGGGGCTTCTGAGAGGAGTACTGATGCACGGGGTTGTGGTGCTTTCAGGAAGCTATGTACAGCACCCTGCCGGCCCCTCCCGCCAGTCATGATCTGCCTGCATTGCATAGAGAAGAGTGACGGAGAGATGCGCTGCATCTGTCTGCTGCTTCTCTCTTCACTGTCCAATCGCAGGCTGGGGGAGGGACAAGACCTGTAAGTGTTGCCAAACTGCAGTAGAGAGAAATCAGCCTTCCTTCCCTGCAGACAGGCTTGTGCTGCGTGGCAGAGCTGCGCAAAACTGGATGGGCGGAAATAGAATTGCCTGCCAAAGGATTTATATCTATGTATATAGCCATCGGCCTGGAGTTCAGCGTTGCTTTTTGCTGACAGTCTGCTAGATTTAGCATGGCGGCAGGAAGTAGAGCTGAACTCCAGTCAGATGGCTAAATACACAGAATACTTTATGGGGAGTTGTAAAAGTTTTTCGTTTACCTCATTGTACAATGGCAGTGTAGATGACATTTCTAGTCCAGCCCTTCTCCTGACTTCTAAAACGAAACATCTGCAGCTGGATCCGACCTCTGTGCTGACATCTAGTTGCGTCATTTCCATGTCATCCTCGGGACATAAGTGGCCCTCGCTGCATAAGAGGTCTGTACAGAGATCACCTCTTAGGTCTCCAGTAATAAGTTCATTCACATCTACCCTCTGCACTCTCGTCACGCACAGATCTGTGAGCGTTGCCAGACGTGTCCGCGGATCCTGGGGCTGACCGCTTCAATCCTGAACGGGAAATGTGACCCTTCTGACCTGGAGGAGAAGATCCAGAAACTGGAGGAAATTCTGAAGTGTAACGCAGAGACTGCGACCGATCTGGTGGTGTTAGACAGGTAAACAGGACGCAGATTCCATGACTTCATCTCCAGCTTATGATGCAGGGAATTCGCACGGTGGACTGTTTAGTTGCCAGGCTGCCTTTTACGTCCGAACATTTCCAAAAAGGAGTTTTAGAGAATCGGTGAAGTATTTGCTTCCAGTTCATGCTGCTGAAGCCGAACCTGATGGCTCCTAAAAAAATAAAATGGCTTTACAGTGCGTGTTTAAAGCACCCGAAAAAGAGTGAGGCCTCCTGATACTTTAAGGGTTACATTTGTGTGAAAGTGACATTTAAGGGCAAAAGCGCACGCGCACACCGCACACGCACACCGCACACGCACACACACCGCACACGCACACACACCGCACACGCACCCCGCACACGCACACACACCGCACACGCACCCCGCACACGCACACACACCGCACACGCACCCCGCACACGCACACACACCGCACACGCACCCCGCACACGCACACACACCGCACACGCACCCCGCACACGCACACACACCGCACACGCACCCCGCACACGCACACACACCGCACACGCACCCCGCACACGCACACACACCGCACACGCACCCCGCACACGCACACACACCGCACACGCACCCCGCACACGCACACACACCGCACACGCACCCCGCACACGCACACACACCGCACACGCACCCCGCACACGCACACACACCGCACACGCACCCCGCACACGCACACACACCGCACACGCACCCCGCACACGCACACACACCGCACACGCACCCCGCACACGCACACACACCGCACACGCACCCCGCACACGCACACACACCGCACACGCACCCCGCACACGCACACACACCGCACACGCACCCCGCACACGCACACACACCGCACACGCACCCCGCACACGCACACACACCGCACACGCACCCCGCACACGCACACACACCGCACACGCACCCCGCACACGCACACACACCGCACACGCACCCCGCACACGCACACACACCGCACACGCACCCCGCACACGCACACACACCGCACACGCACCCCGCACACGCACACACACCGCACACGCACCCCGCACACGCACACACACCGCACACGCACCCCGCACACGCACACACACCGCACACGCACCCCGCACACGCACACACACCGCACACGCACCCCGCACACGCACACACACCGCACACGCACCCCGCACACGCACACACACCGCACACGCACCCCGCACACGCACACACACCGCACACGCACCCCGCACACGCACACACACCGCACACGCACCCCGCACACGCACACACACCGCACACGCACCCCGCACACGCACACACACCGCACACGCACCCCGCACACGCACACACACCGCACACGCACCCCGCACACGCACACACACCGCACACGCACCCCGCACACGCACACACACCGCACACGCACCCCGCACACGCACACACACCGCACACGCACCCCGCACACGCACACACACCGCACACGCACCCCGCACACGCACACACACCGCACACGCACCCCGCACACGCACACACACCGCACACGCACCCCGCACACGCACACACACCGCACACGCACCCCGCACACGCACACACACCGCACACGCACCCCGCACACGCACACACACCGCACACGCACCCCGCACACGCACACACACCGCACACGCACCCCGCACACGCACACACACCGCACACGCACCCCGCACACGCACACACACCGCACACGCACCCACACCGCACACACACCCCACCCCACCCCACACACACACCCCGAGTCCCACAGAGTCTGTGCGGGTGCACGCTGCTCCATAGACTTGCCTTGTGCGTCTCCTCATCTCCCGGCCGAACATCTGAACTGCACATGCGCCCGCCCCAAGATCCTTTGCGGCCGCCCGTGAATTTTTCACATGTTCGGACAGGAGTGCGCGGCGGAGACTTGGGTACGTATGCTTTCAAAAAGTTTTTTGTTTTTATCGTTTTGCATATATCTACTGCTTGCTAGCACTAGATATATGCAAAAACCAATGAGGGTTTAATAACCCTTCAAGTCTACGGGCAGAGGAATTGGCTGAAATATTTGCCCTATTTCTCGCTGTGGCAGGCTTCCTTCACATTGTGTGACTGGTCTCCCAAAGCCTCTTCCCTTTGCCGCTCCACTGGTTCTGGGGGTTCTACCAACATCCCATGCAATGCAGGACCAGCAGTCTACATAGGCACAGACTGCCAGAACGAGGAGTCGGATCAGTATTACTAAACAGGAAGTGATGGTTAATCCTTAATGTAAACGGAGGTTCTTGGTAAAAATGTACCGATACTCGTACTCGCCCAAATGCTCCCGATACCGGAACTTCCAGTATTAGGAATCTGTGGGCGGCGAATCCCCCTTCTTATTGTGTCCCTGATCTTCCAATTTTCCCTTTTGTATTGCAGGTATGCCTCTCAGCCCTGTGAGATTGTTTTGGACTGTGGCCCCTATCATGACAAAAGTGGACTATATCAGAGGCTCCTGTCAGATTTGGAGGAAGCTCTTCACTTTCTGGATGACTGCAACATTCCAATACAGTCTAAGGAGAGAGATTCCACATCCATCTCCAAACAGGTACGTCCTTCTGAGACCTCATTACAGTGCTAGGTGCGGCATCTGCTTACAGCATCCAACTTTGGGGCACTGGTGTGTGGAAGCTTTACCCCCCCCCCCCCAA